TAACGAAAAACTAAAAAACATCCATTTTTTGACAAATTCTATTCACTTTTTTCCAATTTTCAATAGCTCATAGCAGGTGATTCGGCAGCAGTACGAATTAGTCATTAGGCTCATTGGAAAGGTGATATCTTCAGCTTTCATACGAGTGGTCGATGATTTAATTATCTTCAGGGGTTGTCGAGAAATTCTCGAAAAACTGAAAAAAAATCGAAAAAAAGTCGTTTCACTGTTACGTAACTTTTGTTACATAAAAGTTGCGTATTTTGTCGGGATTTTGTTTGTCGGGATTTCGTTTGTCGGGATTTTGTCGGGATTTCGTTTGTCAGGATTTTGTTTGTCGGGATTTTGTCGGGATTTTGTCGAGATTTTGTTTGTCGGGATTTTGATTGTCGGGATTTTGTTTGTCGGGATTTTGATTGTCGGGATTTTGTCGGGATTTCGTTTGTCGGGATTTTGATTGTCGGGATTTTGGAATAAAAACATCCATTTTTTGGCAAATTCAATTCACTTTTTTCCAATTTTCTACAACTCATAGCAGGTGACTCGGCAGCAGTACGAAGATGGCAGTAGGCTCGTTAGAAAGGTGAGATATTCAGCTTTCATACGAATGGTCGATGATGTCCGACAAAAAATCCCGACAATCAAAATCCCGACAAAAAATAACGAAAAAGTAAAAACATCCATTTTTTGGCAAATTCAATTCACTTTCCAATTTTCTACAGCTCATAGCAGGTGACTCGGCAGCAGTACGAAGATGGCAGTAGGCTCGTTAGAAAGGTGAGATATTCAGCTTTCATACGAATGGTCGATGATGTAATTATCTTAAGAAAAAAACTAAATCCCGACAAAATCCCGACAAAAAATCCCGACAAACAAAATTTTGATAAGAAAAACTAAAAACATACATTTTTTGGCAAATTCAATTCACTTTTATCCAATTTTCTACAACTCATAGCAGGTGACTCGGCAGCAGTACGAAGATGCCCGACAAAAAAAACTTTTTGAGTTAATGAAAAACTAAAAACATACATAATTCCCGA